CTTAACTCCATGTTCAAAGTGTGTTGACCCATAAAATGTTGTAATCACCAAGTTCTTTTGTCGAACATTTGGCCTGCTAAGTTTCGAGGCCCAAGGAAGTTGTACTCCAGACGTGTCCCTTGACCACAATTGTTGAGAGTATGTTGACACTAAACAAATTGTAGTCGCCAACTTATGTTGTCAAACAATTGGTGTGCAACATGTTGACGCCACATGAAATCATAGCTCGGAAACGTTTCGTAACATATTCAACTTGTTTTGCCCATAAGGCTTGTGGTCACCAATCAATCAGTCAAACGTTTGGCCGGCAAATGTTTGAGGCAAGGACATGTGTATTTCGTTGATCTGTATATTCAAAATATGTTCGTCCATAAGAAACATGTAGTCACATTGTTGAGGCCACAGGAAGTTGTAGTTCAAACATGTTCCTTCTCTAGATATTCAGATGTGTTCATCCATTAAAAGCTGTAACCACCATGTTTTGTCAAATATGTGGCCTGCAACATGTTGAAGCGACAGACATGTGTAGTCCAGAAGTTGTCCTCCTTAACTGCCTTTCCTCAAAATTGGTTCGCCCAAAGGTATGTGTTGTCCCCATATGTTCTATCACCAATGTTTGTCCTAACCTTTCGTTTCCCCAACCTTGTTTGTTGTCAACCGTCCAGAGCTGTGTGTTTAAAACGTATTTGGCCTGTATGTCTCGTTGGCAACCAAGAGTTGAGACATTCCTAGTTTTTACAGTTGTACAAGCTTCCTGTTCACTGGGCCTTCCGCATTTTTCACTTTGATTTGTGCGCTGTCGCCTGGTCTCCAACAGTTAGGCTCATATTGTTCAGTCCTCAGTTGTACTGCTCGCTGGGCCTTCCGAAATTTTGACCAAAATTTGGGAGGCGTCAAACAAATAGGTCTCCAACTTGCAGTTCATGCTTGTTGTTTTCGACTGGGCCTCCACAGGGCATATGTCTGCGCCGCTGTCATAAGGGAACATATCCATGGAGCAGCCCATGGATAATTAATATGTATGGACATTTCGACATACATTCACACAAACATGCGTAGATCAATGTATCAATTTAATATTATGATTAGGTAAATCCGTATTTATTCAACAAGAAAAATAGCATAGACCTGTGTATAAATATTATGTACATATATATATATACACATACTGTTTAAGTGTATGTAATGCTGGAATTGAACAAATCCCACACTGGTGCCTCAGGAAACATATGCGCAGACACATGGTTGACCTGGCCTTGCTTCAAATCAATAGAAATTGCAAACCCAAATCAATAGACATCATGCAACATGAAAGCAATAAAGTCCAAAAACGAGCTTTAACGCAACATATTTATTAGATCAAGAGAAACGGAGCAAACCAATATCAACAGAAACACACTCATTTCTATTGATTTGGATCAATAGCCGATGCCCACGGGACACACATGCCCAGAAACACTCGGAAACCACTTTTATCGGATGAATATCTTTGTTCCGGCCTAATCAGCCTGATGGGGCCAAAATTGCAAAATTCGCTCCGAGTGGCCCTAAACCATCCAACGTGTCCAAATCACAAACCACACCCCTACAACAAGCCTGATCAAATTGACCCAAGCAGATTCCACTGCCACCCAAGACCTCCCAAGCCCATCGCATAAAGCCTCTTTACCGCCTTGGGCGGCTTGAGAGTCTTGTAACAAATGATTTTGTAAATGCACGTTTCTGGTATCCAGCGAATATCCTGGAAATCGGCGCGACAATGTCCAACCGAACTCCCGCTGAACTTGCCAAAATAGTGCAAGCTGGGCAACAGGGGGGTCGGTCCAGGGTCTTTGGGGGTGCATTATTCAATTACTTATGCTGGCCTGCTGTTTGCCCGTGCTGCGAACAATCTCATATGAACATGTGCTATTTCAGCGAATTTGAGCACACAAAGTCACATCTGGTTCAAAAACCGAAGACGCACCTCAGCGCAACAAGCCTGAAACAAGTGCATTGTTGCACAAAGTGAAATTTGGTTGAGCTAATCTCACAAATGCGCATTTGGGCGAACAAAGAATAATTCAGCCGACAAAACAAACAATGTGAGTCTTGCCGAAAACAGTGAATTCGGTCGCACAAGACTAAGAACAATGCATGGTGCATGTCAAGCCAAAATGCAATTCGGTCGGAAACAAACCAAATTCTGGGGTGTACTAGTGTGTGTTTCACAGAAAAAGCTGAACAATGAAAAACAACTGGAAAAACGAAACAAGGCGCCAGGACCGAACTCCGACCGAACTCTGACTGAGGTTGGAAAAAGGGCCCAGAAGCACAAGGGGAGGGTGTGGAGTCTGAAGCCATAATTTCATGACTAAACTTATGGTAGAGAGGGTGGTTCATGTCCTCTCGGGCGCACCAGTTACACACACTGATCTAAGATTGAGTTAAATGATCCAGTTGCCCTTTGGGTGGGGCGATGCCGAGGTGTGTGCAAGACATGCACTGCTACATGCCATCATCGCGACATTCGGTAAAGGACTCCTGGTTCGACTCCACGCCCGACGGTTGTCACCAACACTTTGCACCCTTGTGAGATTGCTTTTGCTAGGCTAGATGGCATTTCATAGCAGTCACCTTTACACGCAAGAACCCCAGACCCTGGTTTCGGCAAACCAGCGAGCACACTGTTACAGTATTTCGGAAGACAGCTCCAAGGCTTTTTTCTTTGCATGGATGCCAGTGTTGCTTTCATGTGGGTCCATGCTGTTCATTCGAGTATGGTTGAAATGAAGTCTTGCATTCCCAGCAGGCTGTCGAAATAGGGACGACAGTCCATGCGCTTTGCGCGGAAGGTATAGTGGTCTAGGACTGCGGTTTCACCTTGAAATCTAATTGCATCATTCATGAGATGTACTGATACTGTACTATTTCAACGTGCATCATTCAATTCGATCAACCCGACAGACCTGTCAGCCCGTCAGGCTCAGACATCATCATGTTAGTTCGAACAAACCATACCTTGTAGCATTGTAGATGAGTTTATGTGCGTGATTAAAGACACAATCGCGCCTTGGGATTGAAGTTGCAACTGCTGAGCCCTTTTGAAATTTGTCTATGACTTGCTGTTCTGAGACATATAGTTTCCACATGTATGCGTTGGTGCTTTCCCAAGCACAGCCGGGTTTCTAAGTCCCAAGCTTCATGGATTCTATCGTGTACTGGTGCGGCTTTTGCCACGAAGACCTACCCAAAAGATGTATTTGTTTGCAGTTGTTCTCTGGGACTTTGCAGGGATATCTGGCGTCAGCCCACCCCTGCCAGCACTTGAGTCAACCTCTGCCCCAGGTCCCGGCGCCAGGCCCGGCGCGCCGGGTGCCGGGACCTGGGCGTGCCGGCCCCCTACGGGTTCGGGCCGAAGCGCCAGGTGCCCGGACCCGGCGCGCCGGTCGGGGACGAGCGCGCGCCCGGCGCGCCCCCAGCGCGCGCCTGGCGCACGCCTGGCAAGCGCGCGCGCTCGCGCGCTCCGGAGCGCGTGCCCGGCGTGCGTGATACAAGCCGGGCAAGAGATCTGGACCCTACATCCCCCAACATCCCCGGCCCCCGCCACGGTCTCCCAATGCCACGTTGCCCAACCTTCAAAAACACCGTTAATACCGTCAAAGCAACATCCCGTGCATCTTCGCAAACACCCTCTGCATGCCCAAAATGCTGGCACCAGCGCCCTCGGGCGGGCCTTGACACCCGGCGCCGGGTGCAGAATCGTGTGTGTGTGTGTGTGCTTTTCTTGTTGTGGCTTGCGCGCGCTGTCCGCGACTCTTCTGCAAACTGTTCTGCCAGGAATGGCGCCATGTGCTTGTCACACGCGTGCACGCCCATGAGGAGTACTTGTTTACGCAGTGTTCACATCCTCGTGCGCCGTGTGCTTTTCATGTAGGTCGGCGTGTGTATGTGTGTGTGCTTATGTGATGACATTTTCCTATACCTTAGAAGCGTGCGCCGCATGTGAACTTTCCAACCTGTTGGGTGCCTTCAGCCACAACCGCCACAATGAAACCCTGTGTTCCTCCTCCGTGTGCTTTGAATGCTTTGGTGAGGGCAGGGTCCTTGCAAAAAACGAGCCGGAGATTGCATTCTGAGGCATTGAGCTTTGCAGGCTCGATTTTTAGGTTGCGTTGCGGTTGTGTGTATTCCTTCAACATGATCCTGCTGTGCTCAATATCAGCAGCAAAGCATTGATGTTGTCCCTTTTCCTTGGTTCAACAGCCAGGCAAACTTTGAAGGTCGGAGGCACGTTTTCAGAACACAGGTTGTTTCCTGCGTGCTCGACTGCGTGCAGGAAAGGGCACGAGGGCAACATATGCCCTGTATTAAGAGTGCCCTATTGAAGGGTGCTATTATTGTGAGTCACTGGATTTTTAGAGGTTCGTCCATTTTGTTTTTGGTTGTGGGCGACGCTCTGGCAGGTTACGCTATATAGTGCAAGGAAAATCTTGAAGCTGTCGACGTTTCGTTATTTATCTACGGTGTTTGGTTCGCAAAAGGTATGCTCGTGCTATTGATGGCGCTTGTGTTTCAGATGCAAGACACGTTTTTAAGAGTCGCATCATCGTTTCAACATGTGCAGTTCCCACACAAAATGTTTTGCAGGCAAGAGAAGACACACAGGCAAAAAGTGTGTTTGGGTGCGTATACAAGGTCTTCAGATCAATGTTCCCCCGGTCCTGTTCAGCTTTTGGGCGTGAGCATGGCATGCATTTCAGCTTTGCAAGGACCTGATTGGCAGTTGTTGAGGAAAAAGGAGGAGTGAGTGCCCAAAAAAGACGAGTCAGGGTCATTTTGGTTGAATTTTGGCTAAATTGGTGGATTTGGGGCATACACAGGGGGTCTCACGCAATTTAGCACCTCCAAGCCCAGTTGTTTTTTCTTTTTTGGCATAGAAGGGGTGTACACATCGCCCCCGGGGTGGCAAAAAACAAAGAAACAAGGAGGCAAAAACCACAGATCTGCGCCCGCGCGACAGGCGAGGGATCAGCTGCTTCACGTGGCACGCCAGCAAGGGCATTTCCGTGAGGTTGACTCCGGTGGGCAGAGGTTTGTGTCGCAGCATTGCCCCTGGCGATTGGGCGATGTCCGGTCAGAACTTCCGATTTTTAGTCAGTTCCGATTTGAACTGGCGAAGCCCACCAAACACAAAGAAGTCGCTTATCATGTATATGGGTGGATCTTTTTGAGAGAAACCACTTTTGGTGGGTTTTAGAGGAAGCCAAAAGGACAACCACCGTTTTGAGGGCTGCGATCCCTGAAAAAAGACCCCCATATTTCAGAAAATATGAGGGTTGATTCTCCAAGCCTCTCACTTTGAATCTGCATCCCAAGATGACCTATCGAGAATCTGTTAGTGTCCCTTCCGGGTGCGAAGCCCGAGTCGAGAATTTGCGCGACTGCTCAAGCTTGCAAAAGAAAAAGGAGCTCAACCATCCGCCATTGAACTCCCCTGGAAAAAAATAATAATAAAAAAACGACCGTATGTCCCGTAGTCAAATCGATTCCATTAAAACCAACTTTGGGGAACATCAGCAGATTCATTTCAGCAACTGGAAGATACGGCCTGATATGGCATATACATTTGTCCGAAGCAGTCGCCCACACCTTCTCTACAAACAAAATCCCACGCGAACTTGACCAACCAGGCCGCCGGGCCCATGGCCCATCTTTTGAATTTCGGCTTTCTTTGTTTGGTGGTTCGGAGCCGAATCGGTGGTTTGGTTCTGTGGTTTTGAGTGGTCTTCCATCCAGCCTCTACAGAACAAGGAGTTCAAATCCAAATCCAAAACACCAAACTCCAAGCTAAGGGCACCTGACCATGTCAAGCATAGGTGTCCTTTTAGGGCAAATAGATGGCCCTGGTGGATGATTAAACCACCAGGTAAACCATGACCATTTATTTTTCTACCAAAACAACCAAAAAGGACACCTATGATTTCAATCATCGCCCCTCCAAGTAAATCCCGCGAGGCCGGCCCATGCATTGGCCCAGTGCCAATTCTGGAGTTAACGAGCTTGACTTGCCGCGCTCCTGGCGAAAAAACTGCTGTCCAAAAGCAATCTCACTGGCTGAGTGGATGGCCCAAACAAAGTTCAACTTTATGTTTACCACTAAAAAGGTCTTCTCAAAAAGATTAAAGTTCATGAACTCAGGAAGTTTTTGCAAACGAAAGGGGTAACTGCGTCTGCAACCAGTTTGAAACCCCGAGCTGTTGTCCTCCCTTGGGCTCGGGGAAGTATAACATGCCTCGCAGGCGCCTTTCTGCCTCTTCCGCTAGCGCATGCATGTGTGAAGTTAGTTGGCTAGCTAGCTTAGCTGGCTAGTTGGCCATGGGTCAAAATCCAATACCCCCAGTAAACATCCCAATCCAACCACTAAAATAGGTTCTAAATGGGTGGTGCACCTACACCAAAATGGTACCATTGGTTTTGACCCACAGCCAGTTAGCGACAAAGTTGGCTAGGCGCTAGCGTTAGTTTGTCACATAGGTCCTCCAGATTTGAGAGGTTAGAATACGTTGGTACCAACTTTTTTCTGTAGTCTAGTTTGGTAGGCGAACCCTCCCAACCAAAAAACGGGGGTGAGAAAGGGCGCTACTGGGGGACCTAGGATAGTTCGTTGGTTAGTTAGCTCCGTGCACCTCGCTAGAACCCAAGTGGTTTGTGCACCGCCGTCGGTTCGCAGCCCCCGCGCTTCTCTGCCAAGCCAGCTGAGCCTGATGGTGGGCCTTTGAGCAAGGGAAACCACCAAAGCGAGGCCGTTCGAGCGGGAGTGTGGAAAAACTCCGATGGACAAACGCGGTCTATGCTATATCGCAATGCACAGGTTTGGTTGCAAGTTCCGGCTCGCAAGTTGCTAGTCCTAGAGGTAGCATACAAAGTGCGTAAAGCGCGATGTCGGCTGAAGCGTTTCAGTACATCCAGTACTCCAAGAGATCGTAAACTAAGATTCCACTGTTAAACAACCACAAGGCTAAGCGAGCGTAACCGCGCACTTCCAGTTCCGGCTCGACAGTCGAAACCTTGGGTACATAGTCCTCAATTTCCTTAAGTACCATGGCAAAAAGGAGCATATGTTCAACAGAGGACATATATAACAATAGCGTTTTAAGCAAATGGAAGTAATTTGCAACATGTGGTTTCACAATGTTTCAGGCTCAATACTGACCAAATGCGGGGGCGTAGGTTTCGGTAGTCATCTGTATGACGTGTGATCGCTTTTCCGACATGAATTTTCAGGTGAAACTTTCATCACACCCCAATTTGCCTGTCTTGCTGGTGTGAAACAGTGGGGACCCCCAAGCTGCTGAACCAGGTACCAAGACTAGGTCCTCCAGTAGAGAGGTTAGAATAAGGGTACCCTTTTTTCCGTAGCGAATTTTAGTAGGGGACCCTCCCCCCCAAAAAGGGTAAAAGGGCACTGACCTCGAAGAAACAGAAACCCATCGATCATCCGACCCCCTTATTCACTGCGCACATCCCGAAGTCGGCGCCTTGGGCGGTTCAACCGGCGATGGCGCATTGACCTTGGAAACGTTGATCGGAGACGGGAGGCATTTTCCCGTGGTTGTCAGGGGCCCCCCAAGCAGCAGCCGTAAACGAACCCAATTAGCTTCCCACCATATTTCCCCTTTGGTTTTTCGAGCCAGAGGCAGTGGAACTTGAGTTGTTCTGCGCCCACGATTTTGCAAGCGGTGCAAATTCCGCTCGATGTGTCTCAGATTCGGACTGCGAAAGTGAGGTTGGTGAAGTTTTCAGTGAATTGTCACACCAAGAGTTCTGGACTTTATACTTTTTGGGGAAGACCAATTTAGTTCAATACAAAGCTCGGACTTTTCTGGCCAACCCACCCAGTGCAGATGAGATGCTGCACTGGTAAGGCCGGGAGCCACAGGCAGGACGTGCGGTGCCTGCGGTGCCTGCGGTGCCTGCGGTGCCAGAGGAAGCACGAGAGCGGGTTTCCTTTTCCTTTGTACTTCACGAATGGGCGCTGTCCTTCTTTGGGTTCCAAAACATGGGACCCCATTTTGAGAAACACCATCCCCGTGCCCGACCCCCACAAACCCAAGGGCGTGCTTAAACATGGCTTGGGGATAGGTGCATCGGTGGTGATATGTTTCGTCTGATTTGATGGTTCGGTGTTTGCTGTTGCGTTCTCTTTGACTGTGCTGTGAGGAATGCGTCCTTCATATGTTGTGGCCTTCTTGTTTGGTGTCCGTGAGTTGTCGTGTGCCTCGCGTTCAATACATTGATGCCAACAATAACAAAGGTTGGGGTTTTCGTGTCATTGAATATATGACTCAGTCCTCGGGTTGGTTGTTTGTCTGAATCGGGCTGTTGTTTTTCCTGGCATTGCTGTTGTTTCCAGCAAGTATTCTGTCAATTCCACCAAACAGTGGGGCTGTTGCCTAAGCGTTAGCATGAAGCACACGGGGTGGTTGAAACAAAGCAACCCGGTTCACGATCAGCTTTTAGATTGGTTCATCAGTTTCTTGAAGAAACCCGCACGAAACAACCCTTAATAGCCTCACAAAAAGCCATCCCAAACCAGGCACCCAGCAAGGCTATTCTTGCAAAGTCTTGTGTCAGCCGATGATTGCGCCCGCTCGCATTACACAGCATTCCTTTGCCCGCAGCCGCCCAATGATTTGGTAAAAGGCTCTGTGGGACTCCGCTGAAACACAAGCCGACGAGCAAAACGGGGCTTCAACTATAAAAGCCGATTCGCTGTTGAACTTCGCACAGTTCTACCAGTCATGGCCCTACTCGAAATTAGATGGCAAACAGTAAGCTCAGCAAGCACAACACATGTCTTCGTCAAAACCCCAAGCGCAGGATTTCAATGTTTTGTTAATCATGTTAGTCATGAAGAGGTAACCTAGTCCCAAATGTTGACCCAGGTTTGACGGTCTTTCAAGGGGCCCCAAAACCCACCAAGACCTCATTTCTGGGATCCTTACCCCTTGAACCCCCGAGCAAGCGCAACACAAAGGGGATATTTTTTTTGCATGGTATTGAAAGCGCAAAAATGAAAAAGCACAATTTGGCCCAGGGCTCCTTTTTGGGACGCTTAGAATGGAAAACCATGCTTGTGTCTCAAAATAGGAATCCGAACCCCCAAAACGGGTTTGCTTTTGGTCGCCCTTTCAAGGCTTTAGGGTTTAGGCTTTCGCATGCGAGGGGCGCGCCACGGGCATGGGGCGGCGCGAGCAGACCATTTCCCGCCCCAAATATATCCGCCAAATTCGGGTTTAGGGCATAGGTGTCCTTTTGGTAAAATAGACGGCCCTGGTGAATGAATTAAAACACATTAAAACCAGTGCCATCTATTTCTAATCAAAGTAACACAAAAAGAAGACCTATGGTTTGGGGTTTTGGTTTCAGGGACACCCGCCCAGCCACTCCCGCCATCTCCACTCCCCCATGCCTCAAGATTCGCGCCTCGAGTGAAGTGTTCTTGCTTCCTTTGGCAACCATAGGTAACATAGGTACCCAAAATGGAATCCTGATAAATGGAACCAAGGACTGAAACCGAAAATCGGGTTTTCGGGTGGATTAATTTTGACCCATACCCAAATGGAGGTTGATCGCGTAGGGTCCGGAATGTGCGGCTGCCCTTTAAATGGGTTGCCCTGGTAAATGGGTGCAGTAGACTAAAACCACTGGCTCTCAAAAATATTCTGCGCCACACGCAGGTAATGATCCAAAGGCATCAGTTCTTTTGTGTTTTGAGCCGCGGGCGTTCCCTTTGGGGTAAAAAACTAACTTGAGGTTAGCCCTCTTTGCCATGGTCAAAATCGAAAAGTGTCGTTCTAAAATGATGTTGACCCCGGATCCAAGTAGAAGCCTGTTTAGCTTCAAAAGGGGTGTCCATTGGTGGGGACTCGACCACTTTTGGAGGGGAACACCCCCCATATTCATTAACAGGGGTCACCATTACACGGGACCGGGGCAAACCACCAAGATTACTTTCCTAAAATGGCAAAGGTTGCCGTTTGGTGTCCCACCATTTTGAGAAACTCCGATATGAGCATAGCTGTGGCAAACAAGGTTTTGGCCAAATGATCTCTGTGATAAAAGGCGAATCCCCTCTTAAGTGACAAAATACTCATAAGGAAGCCCATTTTGGGTAGGTGTGAGGGTTGATGAAAAGGTCCTTACGGCATGATCAGGGAAAACCCACCTTGTTTTTCAAGTGTGAAAACTTGGTTTCTGTTGACCCGTCTGCAAACAGTTTAACCTTTTGTGGGTGTAGTGGAAAACGCCTTGATTACCCAGATCCAACCCAATAGCAGACAAGATTAAAGAATTGGCCATCATTTGGGGAAGAACATTGATCACCCGCCCATTTTTCCACTCAATTCTCTGTGCCTAAGCGCCGAATTGCACGCAAGGGGGGCGCTAAAAGGTAGGAGATGAGAGGATGAGAGGAGCCTTTGCCAAAGAAGACGAAAGAGCTGAGCCTTTAGGGCTGATTTGCCTACCCTGAGTTTTGGCTTTGGGGGAGGGGGGTATGTTGATTGATTGGTGGCTGAATCTCTGGCTCCACGTTCACCCCCCGGAGCCGCTCAAATGCGGCATCATCGCAGCCGAAGGCTGGGTGGAGAGCCCACAACTCCACAGAAGAAAAAAATGGGATAGAACAATTACAGCATCCTTTTTTTGGGAACCTCCACCTGGGCGATTTTTTATTCAGGGGGGTGGTTGACAGTTTGTCCGGGTCGGCTTTCTTAGGGTTGGCCCCCTTGCGAAAGAAAAAACAAGGATAGACCTTTCGCAAACCTCTGGTCCAATGGGACAGCACTTCCGGAGCCCCCCTCATTTTGTGTTTTTTTTTGGGGGGCAATACCCCTTTTCGGTGTTAAACGGGAACCAAAAGGAAACCAATGTCAGTGTGGGAGTCTCCCTATTTCCCCTATTTTCTCCCACAAAAAGGGGACACCCCAAAATCCAAATCAACCCGGTTGATGCTTCCGGGTTCCCATCGATAGGTGTTTTCTGGCCGGCTTGAACTCCAGAACTCCGCCCGTTTTCTGACGGAAATTCCGACCTGGTGTTCAGAATGGAATGAGAAATGGAATGGCCCCGAGACAAACCATCCACTTAGATGGTCTGGGAGATAGCTACGTGGTTAAGTGGGTAGTAAGCCTGGTTGTAACCCACTTAGCATGGTTATAAGTCCCCTATAACCAGGGTTACTAACCATTTAGCCATCCTAGGTCCTCCAGTAGAGAGGTTAGAATAAGGGGTACCAATTTGTTTCTGTCTATTTTGGTAGGGGAACCCTCCCAGCCAAAAAAGGGGTGAGAGGTCGGGCACCTAGCTGGGGGACCTGGTTTCCTTTAAGGGAATCCCCAGGTTCATTCCATTTCTCATTCCCTATCGCACCAAGCCGATCTAACCCCCACAAGTAACAACGGCTTTCACCTCGCTCGATGCCAAAGGCGCTGGATGAGCAGAGCTGCGTGGAGAGACTCCTCGCATATACTTTTTGCGAACAGCTTGCACCACGGCCATTTCGGGCCCTGTGTTGAAACTATTCTTCCATTTGCTTAAGTCCCCTGGAAAAAAAACAAAAACATGTCCAGTGGTGATAGATTCCTTTTACAACCAACAGGAGAAAATAGAAAATACTCTTAAACAAATGGAAGTAATCTGGGTGAACTATAATACTTCACCAACCTGAAATAAGGTGATTGGGGGAATATTCCCCACATAAACCAACATTTGGGATGAATTCGGTCGTGTGAGGTCGCTATTTTTCACCCACTATTCAGAGCCAGGCAGAAGCTACTCTCACCTGAGTGGATTGGTCAAGCAAAGTCCAAACTGTTTACTGTTTATCTACCACTAAAATGGCCTTCCGCCCCCCCCCAAAAAAAAAACAGTCCAGGAACTCAGGAAGTGAGCACTAGAATGGATGCACATGGAAAAGGCGACAAAAATTGGCCGGGCTTCCTGAAAGCCCTGTAGAGCCTACTCAAATGCCGCATCGCCGATAAGTTCGTCGGTTTCGCTCGCATGATGCCCCATTAAGCATTGCGAAAGCGCCGATGGGCCAAATGTGAAATCCAAAATCTTTGCGCCAGCCGGCTGAAAACCTTGAATACGCTTGGTTGCTGTTGACCCCCACTTTTTGGGGGTTTAGTGGAAAACGCCTTGATTTTCCAAAAAGTTAAAGTCTAAAGATCCAACCCAATAGCAGTCAAGTACTTAAGAGAAACAAACTCATTACGAATTCTTGACGTTGGGTGTGGGGAGCAAACATTCTAAAAAATTAGCAGTTAAGTGGTTGGATTTCAAACCCTAAACCACAATAACCAAAAATGTAAAATGTTTCCCAACAACAATGAATTCACCCATCCACAGAATGAGCCAGGTAAGATCTCGCAGTGTTCAGCAGGACCTCGCGAACCTTAGGGGGTTTGCAGCACGCACGCCAAAACAAAATGAAACAGAACAAAGTGAAGAGCGGCTACGCGTCACAGGCAAGATGCTGCGTGCGACTGCAGGGACGGCCTGCGTCTTTTGCATCGTTTTTGCGGAGCCGAACCATGCCGTCAAGCTGGGCGCCCCACATACCTGTCAGAGCAACACGCCTGTTCGCCGGAGAGCTAGCTTTCGAATTTGGCGGGATCGCCCTCACGCCGAGGCTGTGAAGCCAGCTCTGCGGCCTGCGGGGGTGCTTGCTGTTGAAGCTTTGTGGGGTAACAAACGGGCTCCATTCAGATGCTACTCGTGTCGCGCATGCCTACACCCCGTCTATTAGAACCAATTGTGCCCAAGAAAGTGCTCTTTTTGAGGCGCGCTGGTCGGCTGCGCGGGCTCGTGCGAAAGTTGCCTTGTGAGATGTTCATGTGCAGTTGGCCTGCGGGCGGGCCGGATCGGTCTCGCTGTGGCGCGGTGCGAATCTTATACATTGCAAGTGAACCTGCTGCAGACTGTCGGTCAGATGCTCTGACGGTGGCACGGGGTGCGTTTTGAACATTGAAAGTGAACCCTCCGCGGACTTTGGGTGGGTCGGATCGCTCTCGCTGTGACGCGGTGCGAATTTGGAACATCGAGAGAGAGCGCTCCCCCTCGGGTGAACGAATTTTCAGCACCGCAGATCGACCCACCCAAAGCTCGGGTTCCAAAAGTGCACCACGACACAGCGAAAGCAATCCAAACTGCCCCAGGTCTGCAAAGCCTCTGCGGACTTTGGTGGCACGGATCGCCCTCCCCAGAGATCCTGCACACACACACACACACCTTGCCAAGATATCCCATCGAGAGATGAGAGGGTCCTCTCCAGAGGTCCCGCACAGCCTCTCAAGTGCGCAAATCTTGCCAAGAAATCCTACGAAGAGATCAGAGATCTTGCACGCAGGTCTTGCCAAGACATCCTTCAGGAGATCTTTCGCACAGATCCTGTCAAAATCAAAGATATCTTGCGCTGGTCCTAGAGACGTACCTCTGTTCAGGGACATCGTTGTAGGTGTCTCTGTCCGGTGCTCTGCTTTCTGTTTGCTTGGCCTCGCTCCTCGCAGTTGGGATTAGGTTTAAATGGCTGCCATTGATGATCCCGACACCCTCAAGAAGTTGAGTGCCTTGCAGCAAGATATCGCAGACCTTCTTGCGAAGCACCAAAGATTTCATTTGCACAGGTCTTGTAGCTCCCCCTCTGAGGGATCCTGACCGGGGGTCGTACCGGGAGATGCTCCCGCAAATGTCTTGAGACGGTCAATGTCTTGAGACAGTCGAGGTCTTGCGCGGGACCCGAGACTTTCTGGCGAGAGATCTTGTAGAGGATGCGCTACAGGTCTTGCACAGAACGCTTGTAGAGGGTGTCCTGTAAAAGAGATCCAAAGAGCCTGCAAAGAGCCTCCCCAAATATCCTGCGCTGATCCTGCATGGAGACCCACTCAACGGATCTGGCGCAGGACCTGCCAAGGTTTCATGTCGGGACATCTTGCAGAGGACGCCCGCTACATATCCTAGGGTTCTGTTAGAGATCCTATCCAGAGGCCCTACCCGCAGATCCTGCAAAGATACTTCCAGAGAGATCTTGTCCGGCAATTTACAGAAACATTTGTGGAATTTCTTTCAGAGAAGTCTTGCGCAGAACCTTTTTCCACAGGAGATCTTCTATAACTAGGAGAACTGCCGAAGGCTTTGCTTGAAGAGCAGGGTGCAAGACCTTCTATATAAAAACACGATACCACCTGCGGCCATTTTCATGGAAAAAAAGAGGTGCCTGGAACGCAACGCTTTTGGGTCCAAGCCCTGAATCCTGCCGAGGCTCAAAAAATTCTCGCTGGCCGCGATGAGTTCCATCTGCTTCGCGACATCACAAATGTCGCGACGAAGCGACCTTGGGCTTCTGGGAAAATTTGAGCGTTTCTCAACATGGTGGATCGCATGTGATTCAAGCTGGCCTTTAAAGGGGCACGGTTTTGGGGCCCCTGTTTTGAGAAACACCCATTTGGACCCTGGCGTTCTCCTTCTTTCAACCAACTAGGAGGAAACCACAAACTGGCTCGGGCGTGGCACTCGGCTTCTTGACCTAGCCGACCAAAGCCGCGCTTGGAGGGCGAAGGCGATGCATTTGGTCAGAATTCGGCGGGGCTGGTTTATGTCCACCAGCCACTTGTGGTGGTTCCACCTCTTTGAATTCAAAGCCACCTAGATTGACGCATACACACACCAACAAGCAAAAAAGCAAACAAGCCAACAAGCAAACAAGCCGACAAGCAAGCAAGCAAGCAAGCAACCAAGCAAGCAAGCAAGCAAGCAAGCAAGCAAGCAAGCAAGCAAGCAAGCAAGCAAGCAAGCAAGCAAGCAAGAAACAAAGCAAAGCAAAGCAAAGCAAAGCAAAGCAAAGCAAAGCAAAGCAAAGCAAAGCAAAGCAAAGCAAAGCCAAAGCAAAGCCAAAGCAAAGCAAATCAAAGAAAGCAAAGCGAGCAAGCAAACCTGCAAGCAAGAAAGAAAGAAAGCAAAGCGAGCAAGCAAACCTACACACAAACAAACAAACAAGCCAACAAGCCAACAAGCAAGCAAGCAAGCAAGCAAGCAAGCAAGCAAGCAAAACAAACAAACAAACAAACAAACAAACACACACACACACACAAACAAACAATCAAACAAACAAACACACACACAAACAAACAAACAAACAAACAAACAAACAAACAAACAAACAAACAAACAAACAACAAAACAAACAAACAAAACAACCGGGGCTGAGTGCCACACATGCCAGTTGATTATGGCACCCCAGTCAAAATTAGTGATGTCTCCAAGGTTTAGTTTCCGCTTCTCAGACTTGGCTTTTCAGCGCCCCAAAGAGACGCCATGTGACCCGCTGCGGGTACATGGGTCTCCTTCTGACCCCTAGAAAAGAGATCATGACCCCTGAATTTTGGGTGATGACCAACCATCTTTTAAGGGTGAAGACTCCAGGTACCCAAAACTCAACCTTGGTATATGAATGAATATGAACTAAAATCTGCGGTCCCCTGGTTGCTTAGTCTTGACCCACAACCATCTTAAGCAAATGGAAGTACAGTGTATTTGTCCCTTCCGCATCGAGCCAAACCTTTTCGCTTCCCTTGCGCCGAGCTGCCAAGGAATGCAGTAGCAGTGGAAAACAGCACCCGGGCT